ATTTCTCAAAGTTTAATTGTGCTGTAATGTTTTCTAATGATGATTTTCCAACAAATATATAATAGGCATTCCAAAAAAAACAGCGAAAAACATGTCAGACTACAAAATCAGAGCAGCTGCCCACCATTCTTCATTCTAATGGCTCTCGATATCAGCAGTTTTCAGTTACAGTTACTCCGACTTCTGTCTTTTTCGTGTAAATGAATTTTGACAGTTGGCATACCTCAAACAATGAAATTTGGAGAACAAATTGCGGATGCGAAAGATGAACTCTTTGTATGCGAATGAATGAATCAATCATCAAAATCAGCAAATATAAATTAACCGTATTTGCACAGATCTTTTTTCTTGCTTTTTCACGTTTTTTTTTTGTTTTTTTTGTGCTTTTATTCTTCTTGTAGTAGCGAGTGATTTGTCTGATTTTTGTTTTGAAATAAAGTTGTTCACTTTGTCAATTTCATCTTCTCGTCTTTTAATTTAGAGAGTAATTTCAGCAGTTGGTATACGTGTAGCTCATTGAGTGAGCAAATTGTCTGCGTTTTTTTTGTCTTTATTTCTTGGGTTTTTTTTTTGAGGTACTTGCAAATTTTTTAAAGCAACTTTTTTGGCAACTTACAAGCAGTTGTATAAACTGTTTGTAAGTTCCAATGAGAACAGATGCGCTGAGAAACTGTTTTGTTTGATAGAAAATAGAAATGTTTTGAGGACATTTTTTCCTTACTGGTTCATTATGTTGGTTGAACAAAATATTTTGAATCAAAATAGTTCCCAGGTATTTAACTGCATTTTTTTAAGTCCTATCGTGTTTTGATTTCAGGTAAAACTTTCATTTTTTTTATTCCATTGGTAATTAATAATTGTGTTTTTCCTTTGTTTGTTGCAAGTTAATTTTTTTCCATCCAATCTGATTTAATTTCAAGTAAGTTTTAAGTGCTTAGTTTCAATGGGTGTTCCAAAAAATAGTGTCCACTGCATAAAGACAACATTCACTGTGCTGAGGTATGATTGGAAGATCCTTGATGAAAAGAAAAAAAGCAAAGGACCCAAAACAGAACCTTGAGGTACCCCACAATGAAGTTTCTCTGTTGTTGAACAATTGTTTGAATGAAAGACATACTGGTTTCTATTGCTGAAGTAGGATTTCGAAAAAAAAATAAGAGGAACGCCTTTCAGCCCATATATCTGACACTTAAGAATCAGAGTGTTTTGATCACCAATATCGAAAGCTACAGATAGATCTAAAAGTGTGCAGCCAATTTATCAGCATTTTTGATATCTTTAAGAACCTCTAAAATTTTCACAATAGCATCAATTGTTTCTCGCTTAAGAATTATTGAGAAAAATAATTGTTCAATTCAAGTTTACCTAAAAAACTTTTACTTCAACAAGAACTAAAAAAAAAACAGGTCTATACTTGCATGGATATGACTTGACTTCTTCTTTGAAAACAGAAACTACTTTTGCTGTCTTAACACTACTGGGTTAAAATGCTTCGCTAAATATCTGGTTGAATTGTTTTAATAGTATTACTTTTTTGATCAGTCAAGTTACAGATCCATATCATCTTCAGATTTTTTTCCTGGGCAATTGCTTTTTATGTCATAAACTTCCTGTTGATCAATGTGTGACAAGAAGAAAGAATTTGTGTTTGCAATAATTTTGAAAATCATTCTTTTTTTTGGAATCCAAAGGACAACTCTGTACCGATTGGGAAAAGAAAATTTGCGCAGTTATAGGAATTTCTTCACTGTTTTGTTATCGCCTTCAACTTCTCTCACATAATCAAATCATTTTTTGTCTTTGGCAGTTTGCCGTCTCAGTTTTTGCTCTGCCTCTGAAGCACCCTGATTTTAATATATATCTAGTAATTTGTCTTTTTTAGCACTCGCATTTTTGATAATGTTCGATATCCAGCTTTTTTTGTCTTTGTTTTTGAGAACGGTAATATTGCATCCAGAGTGATGTGAACTTGCTGCTGTAGGAACTCATGTTTTTCATCAGTACCAATTGCACTATCTTCAAACTCAGTTTCGATTAAACTTTCATGTAAATATCAGTTAAACTCAATTTTTAATTCCTGCTTTTGCAGTTTTCCAAAAGCTATACGAAAAAAGTAACGAAAATATCTTCCTTTTCACAAATTTAAAAGATCAAAAAAAGAGTCAATTTAAAACCATATTGATCAGTGATTGCATTTTTAAAATTTTTAGTGGCGCTTGGAAAACTTGCAAAGAACAACTATATGGTTATTTGAGAGTTCTATGTAACACGCGTGCTGTCATTTGGTCCAGATATTACAATAAAATCAAGATAATCCATTTTTTCAATGAGTTGCGTGCTATCTTGTGTCACAACAATCACATCTAAGTTGAGGTTTCCACTTATTATGTGTTTATCTTTAGCGTCAATAACAAATAGGTCAATAAAAAATCAAAAAAACGTCAATTTCTGCACAGGGAGACTTGTAAATCGCAGTTAGGAACAGTAAAAAATTGGATATCCCTTGAGTCAAAATTTGTGAAACATTTTCTTACCGAGAAAGAATTGCTTTTCTTCCACTCCTACCTTTGGTTTTGTTACATGTAGCTATGTGCTTAAAATCCTTTTGGCTAAAACTGTTAAGATTAGATATTTCCCTAAGCCAAATTTCTGTTAGAACAAAAAAGGCTTCAAGTTTTATTGCTGAACCAGTACATCTAATTCATCATAATTTGCTCCTAGAGAATTCCTTGTAGGCAACTGACCTTAAAAATTTTCTAAAGGCGCCTTGGGCGCCAATATATACTAATTTTGAGGAGGGAATGCGCTCCAAAAAAGGCAAGTTTTTGGTCAAAACTTTCGTAAAATTGCCTAAAAACTCCCCGTTAGGCCTGTTCTTTCAAAATTTTGCCGGCAGCGCAGAAGTTTTGGCCAAACCAGGGTCCTTTTAGCGCTTTGGGAGTGCTCGGAAAACCAATTCGGTCAATTTAAAAAGAAGGTCGACAAAAGTTTTGAAGAGTTTTTGAAAATTCGCCCCCCCCCTTTGTGAAAATCTTAGCTCCGCCCCTGTTACAACCGTAATTTCGAATGAAATTTCGAAAACAGTTTTCTTTTGAATTAGTCTAGTTTTTCTGCGTGATATGATAAAAAAATATATACGCCAATATATACTAATTTTGAGGAGGGAATGCGCTCCAAAAAAGGCAAGTTTTTGGTCAAAACTTTCGTAAAATTGCCTAAAAACTCCCCGTTAGGCCTGTTCTTTCAAAATTTTGCCGGCAGCGCAGAAGTTTTGGCCAAACCAGGGTCCTTTTAGCGCTTTGGGAGTGCTCGGAAAACCAATTCGGTCAATTTAAAAAGAAGGTCGACAAAAGTTTTGAAGAGTTTTTGAAAATTCGCCCCCCCCCTTTGTGAAAATCTTAGCTCCGCCCCTGTTACAACCGTAATTTCGAATGAAATTTCGAAAACAGTTTTCTTTTGAATTAGTCTAGTTTTTCTGCGTGATATGATAAAAAAAAACTGAACAGAAAACTATAGTTTTAACTTGGGCAAAGTCGACTGTTCGGGTAAATTAGAAAAGTTGGAAAATAGTCTTCGTAGCAAAATCATTAGAAAAACGAAACGAAGAAAGTATATTTTAAAAAAATAATTAAAAAAAAACAAATTTTTTATAAATTTTCTTTGTTTTTGATTGCCAAAATCGCGCTAGAAGACTTACAAAACTAATTTAACTCCAGTAAAAAAAAATTTCCATTACTTGCTTAATAAGTATTGCTAACCTGTTCACTCACCTTATTCGTTCGAATTTAGACTCAGAATTAAAAATTTCAAACGTTTTTTTTCTCGACACGGAAAACACTTTTCCGGCATTTTTTATAATCGGTCGGTCGAATCACGAGTGAAAGGTTTTTTTTGACATTCCACTCGACCCATTCTGTTGATTCTTTGTGGTACCTGAATTACCGTTAAATGCCCCCTCTTTCAAGTGAGTGGAAGAGGGGTAGTGGGCGGGAGATGGACAGTAGGTGGGTGTGTGTAGTGAGCGAATGGTAATTTTTAGTACAGCGATGGTAAGAAAATGGCAGTTAAAAAAATGTTAAACTGCGGTATTGAAAAAGTAGAGAATTTGAAATGTACAATTATAAAAACTTAAGTAAAATTTAAGTTGATGAAACGTAATCCGTAGCAACTGCACTAAACAGGAAATGAGATAACTTGCAAATTTTGCAAAGTTCACCAATAAACCCTCGAAAAATCCATTATTATAATTGATACAAATATTATTATGATTATAATCCATTTTAATGGATTATAGTCTATCATAATAAATTATAATGGATTTTGTTGATATAAAAAATATTTGGGTTGTAATCTGTTTTTAATGGACTTCAATCGATTGCATTTGTAATTTTATGGATACTGACTATAAAATGACAATATAATCGATTGTTTTCCATGAAATTCAAGTGCGGGTAAAATTGCATTAAAAGAAAAAAATAAGATAAGCCTCATTGCCCATACATTTTATAATAACAGGTTTAGTTGAGTTTTTTAATGCCCTTCAATTTTTTTAGTCAGTTACAAAAATGAATTTTTTTTTAGAAAAATATATTTAGAAATAGTCATTCAAGAAACTTCAAAGATTTTGCTCAAAAAAAACCAAATTAGAGCCCAGTGTTTTTTAAAATTGGCACATCAAGTGCTTATTAATTTTTAACTTAGGGCTTAATTGATTTTCAGGCTGTTTTAAAAACAAATTTGAAGAAGCTGCTAGCTAAAAACAATCAAATTTCTGAAGAAAAAATCCGCCATCAAAGATATTCCATCACAGATAGTGAAAATGCAAACCAAACTTTTCAGATTACAATCTAAACTCAGAATTTATACACTTGAGCAGCACAACAATATCTATCTTTGATATCCATTTTGCATTATTTTTGTGTATGTGAAAAATCAAATTGTTCTTACTCAAGTAAAACTGTTTTTATCTTAATTCAAATACTTTATTTTGCATGCAGCGCTTAAAAGTTACTATTAAATCGCAACTAAGCTAAAAAACTAAAAGTACTTAAAGTAACTACGCTAAGAACCATCTGAGCCGACTCGTTCAGAAAATGGCGACCAAAACTTTGATGTCATAATTATTTTTAACTTAAAAACCGGTTATGATATTTTGAGTTTTTACATAAAAATCGACAGCTCAACACTTGCAACAGACACCAAAATACTTACAACCAAAATCATTTTCAAATTAGCTTTTTGTGTTTCTGCAGCTTCTTATTGTGAATGTTTGATGCAGAATTATTCTGTGAACTTAGATCGTTGAATTCTTTTAAAGAGTCTGATTTAATAAATAGTCAAAATTACTGAAAAAATTATCCATTCAGTCTTAGAACAGTGGTTTTGGAAATCATTAACAAATAAATTACCACAATTATCCAAAAACTGTACCCTAATAACCTTTTAATTGAAGTTCCCTTGGTTAACTTTCATTCAGTTTTCGAGTGATGATGAATCCTATCGAAGGTCGTCCTACCGTTAAGTGTGTAGTTGTGGGGGATGGGGAAGTTGGGAAAACAAGTATGCTCATCAGTTACGTCAAAAACAAGTTCCCCAGTCATTATCTGCCGACTGTCTTTGACACTTACCATGCAGATGTGGCCGTCAATGGCCGTCAAGTTGGATTGAGCTTATACGACACCGCAGGTTAGAACAAATTGGTACTTTCGGTTATACCCGTAAATGGGTATATAGAGAGTTGAAAAAAGTTGGAACAGACAGAATTAATTTAAAAGAGCAAATGGCCTATTTCAGAAAATTTTTGCAAGCAAGTGCGAATTTTTCAGGGTGGATTTCCATAGGTTACAATCAGGGGCGGATTAAGGGGGAAGGGGGCGGGGGCGGACGTTTCCTCCCCCTCAGGGATTCGACCACCTGCCGACCCACAGGGTGCCCCCTTTGTACTAATTTGAGATATCCATTTTTGGCTGACTGACACTGAATTTTTCTATTGGCGCCTTTGGCGCCAATATATACTAATTTTGAAGGGGGAGTGCGCACCAAAAAAACGCGAGTTTTTGGTCAAATTTTCAAAAAAGTCTATAAAAATGCTATTTTTGGCCTGTTTTTTTTTCAAAATTTTGCCTGCGGCGTAGAAAATGTGGCCAAAACAGGGTCTCATTAGTGCTTTGGGAGAGCTCGGAAAGTCAATTTTATCGACCAAAAAAAAGCTGTACCCCCTTCTCCCTCGAAAAAATCCTAGATCCGCCCCTGGTTCCAATATTCATAGCTCGCAAAATAAAAAATCAGTCGCATAAGTCCCAAAATTTATCTTATTAAATTGTGATTGGTTGAAATTTGAGCCAACGAGTTTCTGGATTGATTGTATACTGTTCAATCAGCATAAACTCAAGCTGCAGAATAATGACCACCGCAGCCGCGCTAACGTGTTGCGAGCTTGCCACCAAAGGGTAGAACTCCAAACGAAATTTAGAACCGGTTATCGTCGCGAAGCGAAGACGCGCGCGTAGCGCAACCACCGGTAACTTTAACCCAAGACTCGGCTAAATTAGTCTTTTGACTAATTGAAAAGGTTTGCGACTTATGCGACTGCTTTTTATTTTGGGACCTATGGGACTGATTTTTCATTTTGGGACCTACGAATACGCGCCACTTTTCAGACTGAAAAACTAGCTCAAGGTAACTTACAACCCGCACCAAAGTTTCATGGGTACTAATCAATTATAATGGATTTTCATTGACTCATTAAATTAGACCACGTATACCTCCCAACCCCGCCCCCCCCCCCAACGTGACCCCTCAACCCACGACGAACCCCCCTCACGTACCTCCATCCCTCCACGTACCCCGAACCACGACGTACCCCCTCTCTTGTTAAGTGGCATCTAACTTTAGTACCGGTAAGCGTGGAGGGAGGGGGTGGGCGGAGTTTGTGTGGGATCTATAGGTAATTTTTAGTGATTTTTCGTAAACTCGATTGAAATTAAGAAAAATTGAAATTAAGCGAGAGAACAAAATAACTAAATTAAGTTTAACAAAATTATGAAAAAAAGAAAACAACACACGAAAAGATTTAAATAAATATGTTATAATCCATTGTAATCGATTAAAATGGTTTATTTTTCTTTGATAAATTTTTTTGAAAATCTATCGATTATAATCGAGTATAATAGATTATTTTGGGTTTTCTACTGCTTAAAAATTTTATCATTATAATCCATTTTCAATCAATTGTAAACGAATATTTTTGTTATTTTAGAGAGACTGATAATGAAAATCTAATATAATTGATTATTATCCATGAAACTTCATAGCGAGAAACTCAAATTGGCATGCAAAAATTGGTCAAAATGGGCTATTGCTCCATTTAGATATTTCTGTCTGTTCCAACTTTTTGCTAATAATTATAGCTCAATTTTTAAATTGTCGAAAGTAGCAATCGATGTTACCAATCGCACTTATTTACCAGTTATCAAAAATGTTAACAAAAGTGTTAGAATCAACAGGAGAAAGGCAGAGAGGCCATTTAAACGACAGAAAGCATCCATGATTTAGAATCAATCATGGATGCTTTCTGTCGTTTAAAGACCTTGGTTTACTCAAAGCATCAAAATTTGGACGGCGGTCATGCATATACAAGGAACTTAGATTCGATTAAGAAAGAAAAATTGAATTTTTGTTTCTTAAATGCAGAAACAAAAATTCAATTTTTTAGTTAATGGAAAAACATCTATCATAGAATTTTCTTATGTGGAAAAATGCTTATCATGGAGTTTTCATACAATTTTCTGTACGTATGGAATTGTATGAAATTGTATCACAAGAAGTTTTTTATATATGGAAATTGTATGGTAAGAAGTTTTGGTCAACCCGGGAGTGTAACAGAAAAACTGAAACCACATGTACATGAGCTTTTAATTTTCTATTGTTTTTCGCCGTTCCGGATTTTTAGTGCAAAACTAGAATAAATGGTCAATTATACATATTTATTTTTTCGAGCTTGTCGAGTTCAACAAGTTTTCGAAGCGTATGGTACAGTTTTTTAGAGATTTGTTTGCGCTCATTGTTTTGTAGGCTATTTTCCAGTTTCCAACCCTCTCGTAAAATCTCGAAATAAAGCATCTCAAAAACTGTTTGCACGGCATTTTGTATGTAAGAAATGTTGTAAAAATTGTTCATTTGTTCACGCTGACAGGTTTTGATAAAGCTAGCATGAAAGTCATTTTAAATAGACTTTCATATATTGAGTTTTAAAAAAGTGCTGTTTTGTAGTGCAAGGCCGGTTTTTGCTTTTTTCCTATGTTGAAGATAAATAAGGGATCTACTTAACAATCGCCCCCCCCCCCCCCCCCCCCCCCTTGATATCTACTTAAGAATTGCAACCCCTATTAGTAAAAGCAGTAAATTTGCACTGAGTTTTCTAATGAGAATTCTAATTTTGCTGCAATCTGATTGGTCAAAAATGCGTATTTTAATCTACCTAACAATTCCCCCCTTTTTTTTAAAAAAAAAAGGGGGGGACAATTGTTAAGTAGATACATACTAAATAAGTACAAACAATGATTTTAGGTCAAGATGATTACGACAGAATTAGACCTTTGTCATATCCAAACACGGACATCTTCCTCCTATGTTTTTCGCTGGTTCGACATATTACCCTTGAAAACGTGCATGGAAAGTGGCTACCCGAAGTTCGCCACTACTCGCCTGAAACACCATTCATATTAGTTGGCACCAAATTTGACCTTAGAAACCAGTCTAACGAGAAAGTAACCACAATTGAAGGCCAGAAAGCAGCTAAGAAAATGGGTAAACAATGCCAGAAGTACATGGAGTGCTCAGCACTGACCCAAGTTGGACTGAAAGAAGTGTTTGATCAAGCTATTATTATTGTGCTATCCCCGAAAAAGCAAAACATCAAAAAACCAAAATGCAAAGTTCTTTGAGTTAAATGTTGGAAACCTATTTCATATTCAATTTGTGAACATTTTCAATTCGGTCGACCTAAAAAAAGGACGTCATAATTTTTGAAAATCCCCCTCCCCCAGCCAGAAGCCGCTTTTTCCAGAAGGCGCCTTTCACCAAAAAAGCAAAACATCGAAAGAACAAAATGTAAAAATTTGAGTTAAATTTTGGAAACTTGTTTCATATTCAATTTTGTAAACAAAACAGCAGATACCGTACACTTTTACTTAATGTAAATTTTATTAGTGCGTCCAGGATTTTAAGAGATGTAATGTAGTTTTTGTCTAAGAAAAGTGTTCTATCATGAAGTGAACGTAATCGTCTAAGAGCTCTAAAGAGGTTACACATTTCTATGCTTGCTGAAGCAACAAGTACAACCACTAGTGTTAGTTCAATCTCTAGTTGTGCCACTAAGTTGCGAGCTCAACAAACTTCTCGTTTAGAATTTTAACAGTTGATAAATGCCCCAAAATCTAAAAAAAAGCAAAAAAAAAATTTGAAAAATTTGACTGCAGAACATTCATCTACAAAAGCTGAGAAAAAAGTTGAAGTTTGAATATACTTTTTATATAAATTAACTTCGTGTTTAACGTACGAAGATTATTATGAGAAATACTACCAACTTCAGGGACCAGATGTGCATATTGTTCATAGATAGTTTCGTTTAAACATTGTGCAACTGCTACATCGTTAATTTCAGTTTACGCTACCTGTAAAAAAAAGAATAATCCTTGCGAATCGATTGGCAATCAAAAGTTCCTAACATTTTCGATGTCTCAACCCAATTGAGTGTATGAATTGTCAAGCTGAAGGTTACCGCATTCAAGTTTAGGCGAAAGCAGTCGATTATAACGGATTATTATGATGATTTTTGACAATTATAAGCGATTATAATTACCAAAATTAGATGTTTAAAAGACTCTATATCGATTATAATCGTGATAATTTACAAGATGTCGTAATCTATTATAATCAATTATAAATGACTTCAGTTCATACAAAAAACACTTAAAATCAATTATAATCCATTATAATTGAAAATAATCTCTTAATTTTTCAGAATTTTGTTACACCAAAAGTACAACTTAATTATCTCATGGATTATTATTTTTATGTAAAAATCAAAAACTATATAAACGAGATGTCTTGCCACACTTTGGCTCATCTGAACACAAAGTTTTGCCACAAAACAAAAGTTTCATGGATTACTTTTTGTATTAGTTGAAAGGTTCCCGAGGTATGTGAAAAAGAACTCTTCCGAGTAAATCATGAAACTATAGCAATGTGTTGATATTTTGGTGATTAAAAACTTAATATGTTCATCATGAACCAACTTCAATGCGGAATAAACAAATTAAACGACTTGAATTTCTGTCATTTTTCGAGAACATTAGCGCCGACATGAACTGTATACCCATGCCTATGCTAAAAAACGCTAAATATTTAACACTTTTGGCAAAAGAAAAGAAGCACAGACTGCTTGCATATAGCCCAGTTTCAACCGAGTGCCACTTCAGAAAGAATAAAATGTTTTCGTTTTGGGAGATTTGACAAAATTATGGAATAGCAAATTAAAATTTTCCCCTATGTAGTTCTTGTAAGGTCTCGTAGACAAAAACCGAGAAGACAAAAACGCTATCATCGATTCAAATGGGGGTCATTTAACTTACGCGTGTTATAAAACGCAACAAATCGCTCAAGTGAAAAATTTTTCACTGTTTAACTCGGTAGAACATTTGTTTCAAATATATTAAAAGAGTCAAAAAAGCGATGGCAAAAAACTTTGAAAAATGACTGAATAAAAAAACCAATCCAAAAGTCATCATTCCGTTCTCTGAAAGTCGGAAAAACAAAAAAGGACAAAAATGATTTTCGAGTTGTTTTTCAATATTTTTTTTGGCCTTGTGGTTTTATTTGGTGAGATATCAGTTTGTAATCAAAATTTTATCTAGTCTGAAAATCATACTGAAAGCAAATACTTCTGCAAACTATTGCTTGAAAGTTTGATAAAGAAGAGAAAAATATACCTTTTTTAAACTTTCTTCGTTTTATCACACCAAACGCTATGTAAGACTCAAATGGATGTATTTTGTCACTTGTAAACTCAAATATGACCAAATGATTTGCCTCAATTCGATTTGGATCGATTCAATCTGCCGTCTACGCGTGTTCTGATAACGCAGAATATCGAGCAAAAGTTCATCCAAATTGCCCGTTTTAGCAGTTTCCGGAGCCACTAATTTTGAATAAATTTATAGCGAAAAGTAAATTAGAATCGAGCTCAAAGCAACAATATGTTTCATTAGCTATAATACAAAATTTGTCAAATAATTTAACACTTGAATGAAAAAAAAGTTTATCCCAAGTATAAATAATCCGTCAATCAATAGTTTCGGACTCTTATCATTGCACTCTGACCTTCGCAAGACTTGATATATTAACTTCACTAATAATATAAAACTCAATATAAAACTTCACTATCAATATAAAACCGAAGATCGATCTAAAACTATAATATAAAACTTCACTAATATAAAATAAAAAACTTCACTAACAATATAAAACCGAAGATCGATCTCACCATCATTATCTCTTAGCCACATACTGAAGATGACTTTCCCACAACTGAACTTCAAAATTTTAAGAGAAAAGGCAGCAGAGAAGCCTAACACCAAAATTATAACATATTTTGATAGTCACAAGCATATATTTAAACAAATTATTAAGGCATATTACACTTATGACGAAATGAAAACCAAATAACAGAGAAGTTTTTTAAACGCAGTGATTGCGTATTGCGTTTTTCATAACTTAACTACCCATAGATACGAAATTTTCATTGATTATTGTTTAGCACACGCTGAAGCATACACTTCAAAATCAAATAAACACAAAGTTTCCAATCAATTTAAACAATCTCATCGCCAGAGAAAAAAGTTATTCAAGAGATTACACTAGTTGTAGATATATCATTTTCCGACCACAAAACTCATTTTTTTTCTAAAAGACTAGAAGCACAGAACTCTAGCAAGAATCGATTGGCAATCAAATGTTCCTAACATTTTCGATGTCTCAACCCAATTGAGTGTATGAATTGTCAAGCTGAAGGTTACCGCATTCAAGTTTAGGCGAAAGCAGTCGATTATAACGGATTATTATGATGATTTTTGACAATTATAAGCGATTATAATTACCAAAATTAGATGTTTAAAAGACTCTATATCGATTATAATCGTGATAATTTACAAGATATCGTAATCTATTATAATCAATTATAAATGACTTCAGTTCATACAAAAAACACTTAAAATCAATTATAATCCATTATAATTGAAAATAATCTCTTAATTTTTCAGAATTTTGTTACACCAAAAGTACAACTTAATTATCTCATGGATTATTATTTTTATGTAAAAATCAAAAACTATATAAACGAGATGTCTTGCCACACTTTGGCTCATCTGAACACAAAGTTTTGCCACAAAACAAAAGTTTCATGGATTACTTTTTGTATTAGTTGAAAGGTTCCCGAGGTATGTGAAAAAGAACTCTTCCGAGTAAATCATGAAACTATAGCAATGTGTTGATATTTTGGTGATTAAAAACTTAATATGTTCATCATGAACCAACTTCAATGCGGAATAAACAAATTAAACGACTTGAATTTCTGTCATTTTTCGAGAACATTAGCGCCGACATGAACTGTATACCCATGCCTATGCTAAAAAACGCTAAATATTTAACACTTTTGGCAAAAGAAAAGAAGCACAGACTGCTTGCATATAGCCCAGTTTCAACCGAGTGCCACTTCAGAAAGAATAAAATGTTTTCGTTTTGGGAGATTTGACAAAATTATGGAATAGCAAATTAAAATTTTCCCCTATGTAGTTCTTGTAAGGTCTCGTAGACAAAAACCGAGAAGACAAAAACGCTATCATCGATTCAAATGGGGGTCATTTAACTTACGCGTGTTATAAAACGCAACAAATCGCTCAAGTGAAATATTTTTCACTGTTTAACTCGGTAGAACATTTGGTTCAAATATATTAAAAGAGTCAAAAAAGCGATGGCAAAAAACTTTGAAAAATGACTGAATAAAAAAACCAATCCAAAAGTCATCATTCCGTTCTCTGAAAGTCGGAACAACAAAAAAGGACAAAAATGATTTTCGAGTTGTTTTTCAATATTTTTTTTGGCCTTGTGGTTTTATTTGGTGAGATATCAGTTTGTAATCAAAATTTTATCTAGTCTGAAAATCATACTGAAAGCAAATACTTCTGCAAACTATTGCTTGAAAGTTTGATAAAGAAGAGAAAAATATACCTTTTTTAAACTTTCTTCGTTTTATCACACCAAACGCTATGTAAGACTCAAATGGATGTATTTTGTCACTTGTAAACTCAAATATGACCAAATGATTTGCCTCAATTCGATTTGGATCGATTCAATCTGCCGTCTACGCGTGTTCTGATAACGCAGAATATCGAGCAAAAGTTCATCCAAATTGCCCGTTTTAGCAGTTTCCGGAGCCACTAATTTTGAATAAATTTATAGCGAAAAGTAAATTAGAATCGAGCTCAAAGCAACAATATGTTTCATTAGCTATAATACAAAATTTGTCAAATAATTTAACACTTGAATGAAAAAAAAGTTTATCCCAAGTATAAATAATCCGTCAATCAATAGTTTCGGACTCTTATCATTGCACTCTGACCTTCGCAAGACTTGATATATTAACTTAACTAATAATATAAAACTCAATATAAAACTTCACTATCAATATAAAACCGAAGACCGATCTAAAACTATAATATAAAACTTCACTAATATAAAATAAAAAACTTCACTAACAATATAAAACCGAAGATCGATCTCACCATCATTATCTCTTAGCCACATACTGAAGATGACTTTCCCACAACTGAACTTCAAAATTTTAAGAGAAAAGGCAGCAGAGAAGCCTAACACCAAAATTATAACATATTTTGATAGTCACAAGCATATATTTAAACAAATTATTAAGGCATATTACACTTATGACGAAATGAAAACCAAATAACAGAGAAGTTTTTTAAACGCAGTGATTGCGTATTGCGTTTTTCATAACTTAACTACCCATAGATACGAAATTTTCATTGATTATTGTTTAGCACACGCTGAAGCATACACTTCAAAATCAAATAAACACAAAGTTTCCAATCAATTTAAACAATCTCATCGCCAGAGAAAAAAGTTATTCAAGAGATTACACTAGTTGTAGATATATCATTTTCCGACCACAAAACTCATTTTTTTTCTAAAAGACTAGTAGCACAGAACTCTAGCAAGAAAAGTTCATCGCATTCAAATGTTTAAACAAGACATTAACGAATATTACTGAGATTGCAAATAAAAAAATTTACTAACTGAAATTTTTTTCAAACCCATTGATAAACGTTTTCATAAC